GCTACACTGTAGAACAGTTCTTGTGTAATTATACATTATTAATTAATTGGTTTGGCTTAAGCATGAATTGGGTGTGAGTCGGTTATGTTGGAATTTGAAAGTTTTGCTGATTAAAATAACAAGATTCACCCTTTTATGAATACAGACTAGCCTTGCTATAACGGACACTTTGGGACAAGATAGTTGCTCTGTTATGCAGAGTTGTCCTTTATGTGGAGGTTTTGTTTTACTGATCTTGTTACATTCAGTATTGTATGTGTGTGCATTCTTTTGTTCTGTGAAGGTATTCCAGCTATTCGTGTATATAAATGTGAAACAGTGTTTGGATAGCAGCTGCATAATCTCATTCAAACGCCATTGGCATCCATTACATAAACACATTATTATTATTAATTATTATTATTTAATACCTCAAGTATTACGTGTACATGCGTATTATGATTATCCTCTTATTATTATTATTATTATTATTATTATTAATAGGAGGAGCAGATCACTGATGAATTGGATATAGACCACAGAGTCCACAGTAGATTGATTGGAGCCAAAGGAAAAGCTATTGCTAAAGTATTAAAAATTTATTATTATTATTATTATTATTATTATTATTATTATTATTATTAATGGTTTAGGTTATGGAGAATTTCAATGTCATGATTCGATTTCCAAAAGACAAGACTGGGTCTGTTGTCACGGTAACTGGTCTTGAGGAGAATGTTGAAGATGCCAAAGAACATTTGCTGCTCTTAGCCGAGGAATATGTAAGTATAGTTTCTCTTAATGGACACTCTCTATAGCGTACACCTCCATTTAACGGACAGCACCTAGTGTACCAATTACATTCCTTACTGTATAAAATAACCTCCACATAAAGGACACCTCTGTATAACAGAGACACAGTGTCCATTACAGCAAGGCTAGTCTGTGGTGTTACTGTTCCTTCTCTCCTCCTTCATTAGATGCAGGATGTCATTGAGAAGCAGGAGGAACAGGATCTCTTGAACCAATACACCAGACGTACTGCAAAACCGCTTGAAGATACGGCCAAGGGGTCTCGTACAGGTTATGTTGTTAAGGGGGCCCCCTGGTCCGGGTCTGAGGGAGATGAATTTCCAGCTATAGGGGGTCCGGCTAATACCTCTAAAGCTCCTACTTGGGGTCCATCCAGTCTCGGGCCTAAACTATAAACTGTAATAATAATAATAATAATAATAATGACGTTGCTTTCTTTTCATAAAACTCGTTATGCTATT